ATAGAACCAAACAACCAGACAAACAAGCCCAGCCGTTAATACTACAAATGGTGAAGTAGAAACACATACAGGAACCTTTTTCACCTCGTATGAAAATCCCGTAAAACAAAGAACCGACGTACTCGTGAAGACAGCCATATCGCCAATACTGCAGGTAATAGTTCTACTTTAACAAATATTCTTTAAGACGAAGGGTCACAGAAATGTTAGATCACCAAGGATCTAGGAAAAAAGATACAACTAAAATCCTGTGGAGTCACTTCACTCAGTCTAGCTGCTTTTGAATATGCTAACTGTAATGTAAGGAACATAGAAAAAGCCGTTGTTAACTTGGAGACTTTATACGGAGGTAAGACATCAATAGAAGTACTTATAGTGCCAATAATCGCCGCAACCCTATCAAATCATATCCATTACGAAGCATTAAAGTTGCCATGTCTACAAGGTATACAATTGTCCCATCCTGTAAGTCAGGAAGACAATTTTATTATAGCTATGTTAGTTTGACAGACTACTACTGGGATATCTTTGAAAACACCATACGAGGAAAGGGTCACACTGAAGTAAAGTCAAAACTATGATATTTATTTTCTGGACCAATGCCAACAGCAGGAGAATCACTAGCATCATCTGCTGTATTGAATGTATTAGTACAACGCAATAAGGAAGAGGTAGATCTGGTGCGATTTTGGAAGTTGGAATCTATGGGAGTAACGCCTGATGAATCTACACAAAAGGACAAACATTTCCACGAGACGTACAAGTCACCTATAGAATATCGCTACAATCACCATATAACTAAATCATAATGGAAAGATAATTGTCTTGAGCTACCGAGTAACTATACTGTAACCAAGAACAGAACATTAAGTACGGTCAGTAGACTGAACAGGGAATCAGAAACACAGAAAATTTATAGCTGATCAAGAACAAAATGGATTTACTAATCGTCCGATTACAAAACTATAACAAATTGAACATTTACCAAGCGAAGATGCTACCAAATTTCGTCGACCAAAGGAAGAGGCAAAATTAAAGATTCGACAATGGACAATATAATTTGTGATTTACATAGACACTATTCAGTAAAATTTATTTATCCGTAAGAACTTTTAAGTAATAATTAGTTTTTATACAAGGATTTTAAAGTGATTAGAATCATGTGCAAAACAGTGTAGCCGAAACCATTGATTGGCGCGCTAAAATATCCCATTGACTGGGTCAGATTAGGTGAACGTTCGTCTGTAACGCCCACAACTCACGACGTATTTATTATAGACATTTAAACTGTGGGGTCACCAAAGGGTCTCAACGCCTAAATAAAATAATTCGAAAAACTAATCAGGAATAACCTTTGTGTTTTGATTTAAATTGAATACTTAAACGTTCTTTACTTGTGTTTTTGTTATGTTTTGATAATCAATTTTTATGATATCGGACGTTCTTTCAGCAAAAAAGGATTTAACTGGCTTTAAAAGTTACAATGGATGTGTTGATTATTATCTTTTTTTCGGACGTCAAAGCGATTTAACAATTGCGGTTGTCCAATTATGTCATCTTTTAACTTTTATCTGGTCAAAATTTTATTTTAGAACGAATGCATGATCAACTTTAAAAAGTGTGCAAACACAAAACATATAGACTAAATATGCTTCTTTCCTGTCTTTTTCGTACTTGCAAGTTATTAGACAGTAAAAAGGCTATTTGGATCAAGCCTTGTGAAATTTGCATTTACGTTTTTGAATAGGTACACTGAAATGCAGTCAAGTTTAGCGATTGATAATTCATTGATAACATTCTGGCGTATCACAAACAAACAACTTGTAACGTCTCATATCATTGGCCGAAAGATTTAAATACAACAACAATTGAAGTGTGCACGTGAATTGACACATGTGACCGACAATGGAATGTACTACGTTACTACGAACGTAAAAAACAATGATTTTTGGTCGAAATAATTAAATAAGTATTTTGTGAATTTCAAAAAGTGGGGTCGAAATATTATACTAATAATTTGTGTTAAGTAATATTCTTTATGCATGCAGCACTTGTACCGCACTATGAAAAATATAAGGATAAAATAAAATACATGTGCCGCTTTTATACGGATGAATGTATGAACCACTTTAATTTCTTTCATATTGACGCTAGGTTATTATCCTGACAATGTCGTAGTTACTTATAATAAGGATCTCATAATACTGATCCATTTCAAATTTATGATGGGTTGCGCATTCGTCTTTTATTGTTTTCATGCTATAAAACGAAAATAAAGTAGCTAAGCGTTTGGTCATTCAGAAATGACGTGTCATAAACGAGCAAATTGTCCCCGAAAGATCGTATCATGTGTGCACGTGAATATAGATGTACTATGCAATGTACTAGCATGGTCACCACGAAATTCAAATGAATTCAGTGAAGGCATGTTGGTGTAAAAAGGTTTGAAATGTTTCATCGGCGAAGATTTTATTTTTGCATGTGTGGAACTAAAAAATAAATAAATACTTGTGAGAAATGTCGTAGTTTATAAGGAACTATATAAATGTACTGTTTTCGATTTTAATTGGTTGAAAATTTATCCTCTAGTTTCATACCGTAAGAATAGAGCTTTGCATAACATTGTTGAACTATCCGCCAAAGTAACGTGTGGCATGCGTGCGTATTAAAATGAAATACAAAATCATACATGTATGATAAACTTATAAACGAAATATTAAAAAATTAAGGATGACTACTGTAAAAGTATGTACAAAAATGGAGTCACCTTTTATCAATACATTTAGTGAATAACCACACTGTTTAAAACTGATTGTTTTCTATGCAACTGTTTAAATATTTACAATATATAATTTTCAACCGAGGATAGCAAAACAGTTAATTATAAATTAAGAAAGTATATCGCTGGAGTTTATAAAGTACATTTCCTTCCACTGTGCCATGGTTTGCCATCTTCATTTTTTCTCTAAACAAAGCATGGCTGGTTACATGTTCTGAATTTACTTAGAATTTCGGGATTTTTTTTTTCAAAATCAAGTAAACTAAATCAGAAAAAAAATCACACTATCCTAAAACTTATGAAAGAATATGAATAATGAACATGACAGTTTATAACACAAACCCATTTACTATAAAAATCGAGCAATATCTTTAGTATGTAATTTGGTTATTTTTGTAGTTAAGTACGGTTTCATTTCAAGTACAACGTTAATTCATCAAGTCGATTGAATAAAAGATAAGGCAGGGTGAGCAACTTGACAAAAAAAAGGCAGGATGACGATTTATGTAAAAAAATCAGGATAAACTAATAAATATAGTCAGGACCTGACAGACTGAAAAATAGAAAGACAGGACAGAGATAACAACTAAAAAAAATGCAGGACAAAATGTTTCATCCAAGTCCCCCACCCCCAATCAAAATAAAATGGTAGCTCCCTTAATCCAGAACCAATTGAGAGGAGACAGTTGAATTAAATATTTCGACGTGACTGTTCAGATTAAAGTTTAAAATTTTACATGCACATGTATAAAAGCTAGAATTGCCATGGAATAATCAAGAACACAATCATGTACGTGAATACGACGATGGAAGTTTTTAACGACCTTGACCGGCTACGTGAATACTGATCAGTCCATTCAGCTTTATAGTACGCGTGTTCTATTTTCGCAGGTGTGAGGTCGAAGGTTTGAAATTGAATTGACCAATGAAAACGATCGTTCCTTAACGAGTTAATCTAATAAAGTTTGTTTGACTGATTATGTTGCACGACCTTTCGCTAAGCTTGGCCGCAGTTTAGTATAAAATGTATAGTTTGATGATCTTTTCTGCTAACTACTATACTTGTGAAAAACCCTTGGCAATAGAAACATATTCAGCTTTTTTTTTAATCGACCCAATTTACATAGTAATGGACGACTTCGTACATTTTATGATCGCAAATAAAATATGTATATAATATACTGTGCACTGTAGTTCGTATATATACTGAGACCCTTTGGCAACCCCACAGTTTAAATGTTTATAATAAATACGTCGTGAGTTGTGGGCGTTACATACGAACGTTCACCTAATCTGACCCAGTCAATGGGATATTTTAGCGCGCCAATCAAAGGTCTCGGCTACACTGTTTTGCACATGATTCTATAATTCATGGTTAATGTTTTAAATTTTCGATTTTATTTCTTTCTTTTTCTTTTCACTTTCCAGCAGCCGGAGTATTACAAATTTGCCGCAATATAGAGAAAATGATTACAGCTTATTGTTAACTTCAAAGATTGTAACGAAAAACTTAAATAACGTATGGTAACTTCATATCTTTATTACGCTATATTGTATGCATAACTTCTCAAATCAGTCTAGTGAACAGAGTTTGAATATACACACGTTTTTCTATTTACACAAAGCGAAGTACTAATCAACTTAAACCAAACAGTGCCTTTGCTTTCTCGGTGTAATATGACTTCCATTTTGAATGGACTATGTATATTTATTCCATGTAAATGTATACGGCGATATTAAGGATCATGCTTGTTTTATATCAAAAGGTTCTGAAATGATTTTAAAGAGGGTTTAATTTATTCTTTGGCATTTGTACCAATATTTTCTATCTGAATTGTCAAAAATCTTGGAACGCCACCCAACGTTCAAACAATACACCCAAATTCTTTTAACTAGTATTATTATCTTATGTAAATATGCAATCAATGTATGCAAAATTCATTCTGAAATACATCATCTTAATTAAAAGTGAAGAATCAACATAGAAAGTCAAAAAACCCACAAAAAACATACCAAACTGAATGTACTGTTGTCATTTGGTGTTGCAAAATAGAAGTCACAGTACACCGAAAACGCGAAGGCACATTTCATAGAGGACACTGCTTACATATACTCCAAAAGTGGAGCAAAACAGCTGTGCTGAACAATATACAATTGCATATTATATATATATATATATATATATATATATATATATATATATATATATATATATATATATATATATATATATAAAACATAGACTAATAAAAAAATTGATAATAAAGATTACAACTATATCATATGCTTAATTTCGATTGTTATTTACAAATTAAATATTCAATGAAGTATTAATGAAAGCGGTTTATTAAAGTTTTAATCAATGCTAGAAATAAGTAAAATATTAGGAAAGAGATATAATCACTACACGATTTCAGCATTCCGATACATAATTTCTTTATATATTTATTAAATGCAAACACTCATCTCACCATTTCAGTTCAAATAGCAATGGAAAATATTTTTACTGTGGTCTTAGAAAACAGATTGGTTGTTTCTACTATTTATAAAATACAGTACTTTTAATCATTTTTTACGGTGTTCTGTTAATCAAATGAATAGCGGGATCCTCAAATATATTTTTAATAGTCAAATTTCAATTTCCTTGATTTCATGTATTCATTCACTAAGTTATCAGTGACGTCGGCTCGTGTCTTCCGGTGCTCTCCAACAAGATTTTGCAGAACAGTAATTAATTCCTGTTTCAGCTCACCTGTTAACATCTCACCACTTGAATACCTCTGAAAAAAAAATGCAAATAAAATATGTAATGAGCTCAAATTGACTTATAAATCCGGTGTAGCAAAAGTATACCATATTTCTGACTTGGTACAGGCATTGGTATTGAGGTCTTGTTTGCATAGATGACGCAAAAAGTTTTCAACTAAAATCAAAGCAATGAAAGAAATTAAAAGCGAACAAAAAGTGCTAAACGGAAGTCAAAACGGTCTAAGTACGAATTTGCATGGTAACATCTGTTTCCCTATTTAGAACTTCTTCATTCAAAACTTATCACAAACCGGATTTCTTTTAATCGTTAAATTAATGTCGTGGTATATTTTTAATTTCTATATCAATATCGATGTTACACATATGACTCATTACACATAAATGATGTAAGATAAAAAGATGCACCAAATAAAAATACCAAAATAAATTAAAACAACAACAAAAAGAGGTCAACAAAGATTTTGTAATGATTAACAATTATAATGCCGTTGATTACAATGCATCTCATCGGTTATTTCAAATACCAGTAACATAATACAAACGATAAATATAAAATTAAATTTTGTTATTTTGCTAGAAAACAAAGACATTATTTGACAAGATCCTACTTCACATGAATGTTAATTTGTACTTGGAGGATAGTTATGATTGAAAATGTAAGACTTGATAAAAAGGATGTTGCGTATACATATATATTTCAATTTCAAAAACGGTAACCTAGCTTAAGTTGAAAATGTCCTTTCGAATAATGCTTTAAAGTGCAATTTAATAATATTAACATACCAATATTACTGCACTAGATGAAATATATTTCGTCATTGATGATTGAGTACAAAGTATTTGAAAAGTCAAAAAAGATTTTATAAACCAAAAAGGAAAAAAAATTATATCTAAAAGTATAGTTAAATGACTAACATTTGATCAAAATAAATTAAGTAACTTATTACCGCTTTGATATCGGCCAATTTGTCGTCATCTTCCATAAAGAATGTCAGATATTGGTACGACACATCTGTGTCACAGTCGCCGCCATGCTTTTTATGTTCTTCTTCAGTTGGCATTCCTCCAGAAAAAGCATATTTGTTGATCTTTATATGAAAATACAATAAAAACGAATATTTTTTATTAATATATAACATAGGTATAAACTTCTTTTTTATTACCCATTCTTATCATATGTTCTTCGTAAAGGAAATAGCTTTATTAAGGATTAACAAAAACATAAAGAGGATGGAAATTTTTCCATAAAAAAAAATGAAAACAACGCTTTTCTGGATTTACCTTCACTAAGAACGCTCAAAGCCGAATATTTGATAATAACCAAAACAGTTGAAGAGCTATATGACAAGAAAGAACATAAAAAATTAGCTACTTGCCTGAGGGAGTTTAAACCTTAGTTTCTTAATAATTTCTTTACTGATAAACGAACAATTTTACAAATGTTAGTTATAAATCACGCCAATTCCGATAGTCCACCAGTAGCGGTATCGACCCAGTGCGGTAAAAAAGGAAAAGCACTCTTTATGAATTTTATGCGTCCGAAGCGGTTTTCTGGATTTACCTTCATCAAGAACACCCAAAGCCAAATATTGAAAGTCAAACCAACACAGACCAAAATGGACATAAAAATAAAAGCCAATCTATCTAAAGTCAATTTTGGCTGATGGAATTTCTTAAAAATGTCTTAATTTTTAAACAGATAATTTAACAAAGGTAATTTTATAGTTTTACACAATAGGAACATATTTAAAAGATTTTTAATCCTAAGTACACATATATAGTAATCACTGTTCTAAGTTAGTAAAAACACATTATGACGTATTTATTAACATTTAACCAAATTGTAAAGGTGTAAATAAAGGCAACAGTAGTATACCGCTGTTCGAAAACTCATAAATCGATAGAGATAAAAACAAATCCGGGTTACAAACTAAAACTGAGGGAAACGCATCAAATATAAGAGGAGAACAATGACACAACAAAAATACAACATTAAAATGTAACACACAGAAACGAACTATAATATAACAATGACCATTTTCCTGACTTGGTACAGGACATTTTAAGAAAAAAATGGTGGGTTGAACCTGGTTTTGTGGCATGCCAAACCTCCTGCTTTTATGGCAACGTCAAACACAACACCAAAACGACAACATCACATGACAGGACCACAATACAAATGAATGGGAGAACATATAGGACAAAGAAACACACGAATAATAGCTAACAAAAGGTACTAGGCTTAAAATTCAATACGCCAGACGTGCGTCTCGTCCACACAAGACCAACCAGTGACGCTCAGATGAAAAAAGTTTGAAAGCCAAAACAAGTACAAAGCTGAAGAGCACCGAGGACTAAAACTTCCAAAAAGTTGCGCCTAACACGGCCAGGGTTTTCTGCCTGGGACAAGAACATCCTTATAATTTAGAATAATTTATAATTTTGAAAACAGTAAATTTTATAAAATGACTATATAATAGATAAAGAGCACACTCCTGTATATGAAGCACGAGAATAACGTATCAGTTGTAAAGGTGATTCAAAACTGCCATTTCTTTATAGATTTTGACCAATTTTGAGTAGTCCACCGGAATTGAATTAACAAGAAAGGTATTTGGTATTATAAATTAACATTATATTAAAAGTAAAGGTTTGTATTGGGTCTTAGAAATAAATAAAATGATTTTGACTTCTGATGTTCTTCGATGCAAAATTTTACCTTACATGTAAAATTTGAAATACAATTAACGTTACCAAAATTGTATAAAAACTCGATGAACAATCCTTTCGGCATGATATTGTTGTTTAGTGATTTGGATATTCAAACTCCAGAAAGTTTCAACAACTGTCTGATTTCCCCTGAAGTTCAAGTACAGGGAATATCGGATATACTTCTAACCATTCATCGACTGATAACGAAATGTCAACAAGAATATGACTTGGTTAAAATTCGATAGAAAGCAAAAGGTTTAAATTTTGAACAGTTTTATCTAAGTCAATGTTTAAGTTTTTATACCATTTGTATTGAGAAATTATAAACACACGTCCAACTTCGTCTAATCAGAAGATTAAACGTGAATATCAAAAATAATAATAATAATTATATTTGTATGTATCTTACCTTAGTACATTACATACTAGGATATAGTCTGATTAATCATCAGCATCCCCTATGTCTAACATTGGATGTCAGGCATTTATTGAGGGTCATAAACCATGAACTGCAAGGGAAGTTAAATATTGCTACCTACTGGGCCAATTAACAGGTGGTCAACCAGGTGTGTAATTGTATTGCCACAGGTTGACAATTTTGTTTCATATTTTGTACATGCAGAGGTTCATGTTTACCTTTGTTTTACAGGTGAACTTTGGATAGGAAAAATCAATAAAAACAGGAAATAAAAAAGAAGATGTTAAGTAATTGTACATTTTCAAAAAATATATGAAGTAAATCATATGTAAATGCTATTTTCATTTTTAAAACTTTCAAAATGAGAAAAGTATTATCAATTAAGTTATATTAATTTATTTATTCAATATGAAAGGACTAATGTTTAAGGTTATCAGAAAATACGCTAAATGATATAGAATAAGATATAGCATAAACAAATAATGCTGTTGTCACTTCCAATTCCTTTTAATCACATGACAAACGACAACATCTGAAGTCAAGTTTAGATACCTGTTTCAATATTTTATTTAAGTTTTTTTCTTCACCAATTTAAGATAATACTATTTAAAAGATGTAGGACTGAAAGTCACAAGACAAAAACTGACAGCTCTAAGATAAATAAAATTTCTTTGATAAACAAACTATGTATGTTCAAAATTATTTTTGTATTTTTCTTGAATAATAATACATTACATATTTTTGTTAACGTATAGTACAAAAATAATAATGATCATATTATTGTAAGAAAACACACGGTCAACATGCTAAAATACTGGCTTCTTATTTGTTCATTTAAATATGATATTACTAATAAATAAACAATGTCCTTCAATGCATTTTTTTTTCATAAAAAGAAACTATTTCAAGGATTTTCTCTTTTTTGTCCTATCAATCCTTAATCGAAACTATAAATTAAATAAGATAATGAGTTCTTTATATCAAATTGAAAAACCTAAACAGTATATCAAAATTTTGTAAACTTTCATTTTACTTTTATCACATGTCATGGCGTTGTCAGTTTATTTTCGATTTATGAGTTTGAATGTCCCTCTGGTATCTTTCGCCCCTCTTTTATGGATGTTATGGCAAATGTCCCTTCTTTTTACATATATAAATGCAGTATAATTTTTACATCCACTCACTTCTGAACTATTTCAAATACTAAGAAAGTTTGATTTATAGTAATTTCGTTTACCATGCATTTTAAAAAAGAGAATGAAATATAAATTCTTACAATGTCAAGATAGCAAAATTGAAATCTAACAAACACTTCGAAAACAAAATTGTTTAAAATTCATTTATCTAGATTTTACCTGTAATTTTATGTTTTAATCCCTGTTGTACTTTATTATCCTTAATTATTATAATACCTGCCTATTTTATTACACCTGTTTGTCACCTATTCCCCTAATCACAACAAGTGGTCTGATCATGGATCTAAATGCCCAACATGTCAGACATACAAAAAATGCTCAGCATAATTCAGACTATGTCCAAGTGTGTACTGTACATGTACATTTGATCTCAAATAGAGCAAACTTTCACCTAGATCTGATCATTGAATGTATATAGTGTCCTTTGTATGAATATTTAAAGCCTTTTTATCACATAATGTTCTTTACAAATAACGGACGAATCTTAATTTTGAAGAATTTTTATTTTACCTTTGTTTTAATTTGTTCGTCCGAATCTGTTAAAAAAATAGACGAATTTGGATCACTTGCACTCATTTTACCATGGGCTCCTTGTAATGCAGGAAAGAAAGTGGAATGAAGCAATGCTGGTTTGAGAAGTCCCAGTCGTGGTGCTACATCACGAGTCATGCGGAAATATGGATCCTGTGATATAATGTATAAACTAATGCAGTACATTCGTGTAATTATCTTATTTTACAATTATTGAAACTTCCAACATAGTTTTCATGTATAGACATATTGAAGATTTGCAACCCACACTAAGCATGCTATAAGACATTTCCCCTTTGTATGTACTTCAAAAAAATAGGGGCCTCGGTGGCCGAGTGATCTAAGTAGTCGGTTTACTGTATCACTAGCCTATCAACACTGAGGTTGTGAGTTCGAATCCTGCAAGGGGCAGGTGCACTCGACTCCAATCTTAATTGACTAGGATTGTCAGTTTTCCAACCGAAGGTCGGTGGTTCTCTCCGAGCACTCCGGCTTCCTCCACCAATAAAAACTGACCGCCACGAAATAGCACAATAGTGTTGAAAGTGGCGTTAAACACCAATCAGTCAGTCAAAAAATATGTTAAGGACAGATTATTATTTCAGGAGTGTCATTTTCTATTTCTTCTCTTCAAGATTTATAATGGTGATTAAAATATAACGACATATGATAATAAGACTTAAAACAAACTCGTAAATAAGTGGCTAAAACAGATTAATACTCTTTTCTTATAATTTAAAAAAAAATGTGTTAAAAAAGTAATTTTCATAAAAATCAACATTTTGAAGACTGCGTATTTTCTAACAACAACCCTCTCCCATTTTGGGAAAATTTGCATACCAACGGAATACAAATATTTTAAAGAGAATAGCAATAATTTAACAATTATTTGGATACAACATACAAGGAAATAATGCATTACATCAAATATAATACCTGATCAATAGCACACGGAATAAGACAAGGTACGTCTTTCTTTCCTGTGAATATCTGAGGAAATGCTGAACTGAAACTTGGTGTGGCTTGAATGGCAGGAAAACTAATTTTACCGATGCTGTCACTATCTGTGAATCCGAAGATTCCCTTCACCTGATTGAATGTGACGAGTTTCTGTATTTTGCACATCATTTTATAAAATTCCGTGCTCTCTCTACAATACAGTTTCCAGATAAATGTCAAGTTTCTGTATATATAATGTGAGCAAATATTTTAATTTCAAGTGAAGCATAAGTTGTTCTTCGACTAGTGTGTCAGTGACGTTTACCCACATGTGCTTTTCTTATATAATCAATATTACACCCCAACTAAAGTCTCCTTATTTCATTGAAGACCCTGTATGAAATCGTATTTTGATACTCACAGCCTTAATATCGGTATAGATAGTGCGTATAATTGTGAATTTTACTGTGTTGTCAAATTACATTCTATATTGATATATTTATATAATTGTGAATAACGAAAATTTGATGATTTGGCGCGGCTGTGAGTGGATTTGAGATGTTATTACAACAGGTATACCAAAAGTAAAAAAAAGAATTATATACAAAATATATAGAAGAGAAAACAAATTTTGAATACTTAAAATTGGAAAAAAAATATTTCTGGGCTTTCACAAAATTTTTATATGAGTAAAAGATTGCATCAAGGAATACCATCAAATCCATGCATCGACAAGTACCCTAATCATCCTTTTATTCATCATGTTCATATTGTTAAAATTTTGAGATTACAAAATTTATAAATTTAATTCAGATAAAAAATATTTGATCAGAAAACAAGAAAATGATTCAACTTGTAACAGAAAAACAGGAAAATTATGTTGTAGACACGAAATCTCTAACGCACTTGACAAACCCAAAGCAAAGAAACAACGCATTTTTAAGAGCTTTCTTCAAGAACTGAGCAATGCTAAATGGACAACATTTAAATCCGATTTGTAGCGTAATTTATTGCTATGTCGATAACGCTAAGTCTGTCTATTAGAATTTGACACCGATGCAGTGTTATATCAACAAACTATGACTAGTGTATGGTTTTATATAGATAAGGGTTTTGTACAAGTTTGAGCAAGCGTACTAAGCGAAATTTTAATTTTCAAACACTTGTCCTGTGGTATGCTACATATTTTCTTCTTTATGAATAATAAAAAAATTAAAGATGATTACGAAATATATTCTACATCACTGAAGATAAATGTCTTGTCCTTATCAAAGCCACATGCGATGATGTCTTTGGCATTCTCATGTGCAAGTTTGTTTGTCTCTTCAATCGTCAGATCTTTCCATAGAAATTTCTCATCATCGGTCATTTGGATCACAAGTGGAACATCAAAGGTATCTTGAAGCCATCTGTAACAATAATAAGGCAAACAATTCAGAAATCGTGTATGTCCCTTTGGTATCTTTCGCCTCTCTTTAAAAGTCGCGTTGTGTTCATATAAACTGTTGAATTTTATAAAGTATATCGTTTAAAAAGAAAATTTTATATACAAAAGTCTGAAGGAAAACAATCTGATGATAAATTGTATAGAAATGAAAAAAAAAACAACATTATACTTTGTAAACATGAACGGAATCAAATGACCCAGATGCATAGATTCTGAAGATGGTCCTCTCCCTGTGTACAAATAAAATCCTTTCTTCTTTTCAACAAGGTCAAGTATCTGATGCATATCTCTGTTAAAAAAGAGGATCAATATATACTTGTTTATTACATAAGACAAAACTAGGTATTGAAATTGCAGTTATTACATAGTTAATGGTTTACATGTGTATCGAACACGTCATAAAACGATATAAAACAAACACAAATGGACGTTTATAAATAATCAGACGCGTATCATACCTTATTTGGTAATTTCGGAAAAAATCACTAATGTCAATACTCTAAACAATGCTAATTTTATTATGTATAAACTTATATTTTTTTTCGAGTATGTGGTTTCCTGATTAGTTAATGTACCTCATTTAACCTCCAATATAAGTAGTTCAAATTGCAAAGGAGTTGTGTGAGTATTCGGTAGCTACTTTAAACCCGCGAGATTTGTGCCTTGGTCAACTCAAGCATACATATGGTGATTTCCACTGTTTCCAATGTCTACACATTTGTTTTTCGTGGACTCGTTGGATTTTGGTGAAGGGTAGTACAGGGTATTCTTGACGATTTTTATTAAACCTCTTGGATTCATTTTGATAAATTTTGATCTTATACAAAACAGAATTGCTTATTTGCTTTATTGTTTAGCAAGGTACTAAAGCTTTTTACATGTCTAATCTGCAATATTGAAAAGCAACAGTATAGGTCGCCGTTCTTTTATCGAATTTACATTTTCATGCAAGATATGCAACTATACAACTGTTGTTAAGTTCGAATTTTGTCCAATTTAACTATGTTCCTTTGCATTTTAAGTCCCCTCTGATTAATTCATATCTAACACATATTCTATATTGCATCTTTTAATACTTAAACAAAAAAGAAAGGAATACAACGCGAATATTGGGGAAAAAAAATTCCATCGCAAGAAATTTTTAGCGGGCTACCCGCGGCTCTTAATGGATTTTTTTTTTCATCGGGAATGAAAAAAGCTTCATATTTTCAGCAGCAACAACCATCTAACCAAATAACATATAGAAGCTTCATATTAAAAAGCACACTTTCACATTGGATGCCAATGGAATTAAAAACACAGAAGAAATCCTTCTTCATGCCATAGAGTTTTGCTTTGCTAGTATATTTTCTGCTAGAATTAAAACAGATATTTTAGAAAGATCCACATGAACAATATCTCGTATAACATTTTAAGTTACGTTTTCTTAACGGAAGATTTGCGGACAAAGGGTTTCTTTATCGTATTTAGAGAAAAAACAAAGGATCTATAGTAAATCATGTAAATAACATATTATAATTAGAATTGCCATTGCAAAGCAATAGTGGATGTCACCCCGTTTCCCCAATTTCATGAGAACGGCAGCCATTTACAAAAGTGAAAAGTCGAGTGCCACATCTACACATGCCAGTTTGTAAAGTTTCATTAAGTTTAAAGCGTTTTAAATTTTTTGACATTTTTGAAGTTTACATGGCAACGGTCTACATTCCACAGTCAAACGCCACATCTACATATGCTAATTAACATTTCTGTAATGTTTTATTAAGTTTAAAGCATTTGAAATGTTTTCCTGTTTGTTGTGTTCCAATGGCAACGGCGGCCATTATGAAAATTCCAAAGTCAAATGTCTTATCTACAAATGCCAGTTAACCTTTCTATGAAGTTTAATTAAGTTTGGAGCGTTAAACAGTTTTGCTGTTTCCATGGTAAAGATGACCATTTCCAAAATTTCAAACACACCTAACACATTAGCACATGACGGAAATAACCATAAAAGTTTCACTAGGTTTGACCTACCATGTTAAGTGAATAAATACTAGTTTGAGGTTTTCCCCATAGTGTTGAATGGTAACACTTATCCTGGCTCCATGGTAATAAGTAGTTCCAAAGATTCTCAAAATCATCTAAAACCTGAACGTAGTGGACACCAACATTGTTCCAAAAATTTGAAGACTTTTCGTTGAGGCATGCTCAAATTAGACATCAAAAACCAAAATTTTACTTTATACATTTTTGCTGTTTCAAAGATAACGGCTACCATCTTGCACATTCTTAAGTCAGGTGCACAAGGTCACATGGTGGTCCAATTATGGTATAGTTCTATCGACATTGGTCCATTCAGTTCCGAGAACTAGCGTGGACATAAAGTGTGGAAGAATAGAAATAAGAAGAAAAAAAAACATAGAATAACAATATGTCACCCGACCCTCGGAATGACATAATTAAGGCTTGAGACACGTAAAATTACTGCTTTGCGTGTAGGTTCAAACGCCTTTCAATATATATCATAGAAACAGTGAATTTCATCGTAGAGTTAGTTACCTTTGTTCAGTTGATTGAATCAACGTGCTTTTCTATTTCCAGTTTTCCTGCATAAGCACGAACACCGGTTTTCTTTGAAAGTTAACGAGCTTTATATTTTACAGGTTTATTAAATAATATCTACCTTAAGACTACAATGTATAACTAAAACATGTACTAGTATCCAATATTCACCGCATTATCCTTGGCTTTCAAATATTCGGCTTTGAGCCTTTCTAAAATTATCCGTTAATAAAGTTTGAAATTGTTAGAAACTAAGGTTTCAACTCCCTTAGGCAAAGTTGACCTTAGATGGATTTGGCTATTTTTATTTATGTATGTTTTGGTTATATAGCTCTTCAACGGTTTCGGTTCATATACATCCTTGGCTTTCAAATATTCGGCTTTGAGCGTTCCTGATGAAGGTAAATCCAGAAAAGCGCATGAAATTTATAACGTGTTGTTTTCATTTTTTATGGCAGTAGTTCTGATACTTTTTGTTAGCAGAAATGCAAACAAAGAAAAGGTATTTGTAAAAGAAACCTGTGAGAGAAGAATATGCCCCTTCGCAGGAAGTGATGAGGCGGTTTTCCTGTTAACTTGACCATTCTGTCTATCAACTCTTTATCTATTTCAGAACTTCCAAACCTTTCTGTGAAAGAAAATTTTTAATAGATATATATCATATATATATATACATATATTTGGTTTGTAGAATTATATGACAATGTACATACATAAAAACTAAAAATAAAGAAGAAATAAAAAGAATTAGTAATTAATAATTTCATCATAGATACCAGGATAGAAAATGTTTGCACACCAGACGCGCGTTATGTCCATATAAGACCCACTAATGACGCTCGAATAAAAACAAGTCAAAAAGGATTAATAAAGTACGAATCCAAAATGCACCGAGGACCAAAAATTCCTTAAGTTTTCTCCAAACACAGCTTAGGCAATCTATCAGTTAATTCATAATTATGACCATATCAATGATAATTCATGTCAACACAGAAATGATGACTACTAGGCTGGCGACTCCCCCGGCAAAGAAACCTCCACTAGCAGTGGCATCCACCCAGTGGTTGTAAATAAAATTATAGATACCACGCTTTAAATTGTATACGTCACACGTTCATTTCCTCTACAACAGACTCACCATAGGCGCTCGAATAAAAAAAGGTAAAAAGGTCAAATAAAGTACGAAGTTGAAGAACATTGAGGATTCAGAATTCTGAATGATTTTGTTAAATGCAGCTATCATAATCTATTCCCTGGTAGGACAATCATAATTATTTCGAAAAATATAAAATTTTGTAAACGGTTAATTTATAAGTATGACTTTTTTATGCTTATTCATGTCAATGCAGCTGACTTCTGGGCTGTAGATACCATCGGGGAGGAAACCGCAGTCAGCGGTGGCATCGACCCAGTGGTTGTAAATAAACTCATCATAAATACCAGGCTTATAATTCTAAACGACAGACTTGTATTTCGTCCAAAACAGACTCCTCAGTGACACTCGACTCAAAAAAGTTAAAAAGACAAAAATAAAGTACGAGGTTGTAGAGCATTGATGACCCAAAATTCGAAAGGTTTTTTTCCATATATATAATATATATATATTATGATTTATTTTTTGGTTTTGCTTTTGTATTTCATAAATTAACCAGTTTTCCATCATTTAATATTTCACCTAAAATAAGTAATTACAGTTATACTACAGGAAACAATAAAATTAATCACGCACACGACCTTGTACAATGTAGGCTGCAAATTTATGTGGAAAAATTTGTTTGTGCTCACATAAGTTATTAGAAAATATGAGACAGTATTGTTGGTATTATCACGTACTAGTTTACCAGAAAATACGGACTCTTTCGAATACAATACTCTTTGAAGCATTCAAACTGACTTGATATCTTAACGATTAACCAGTCAGCCGATGATATAATTGTTAAATTATTAAAGCAGATACGATTTAGGAAAGCGAGCTATCATTTTGTACATAATTTGCAATGGATCCAGATTATACCTACTGATAAGTTTACTATAGTCTACTCCTTTGTCAGAAGAACTAACAACATCCCATGGATTAACAATGTCTTCATCATCTTCAATTGATATTTTTTTAACTTCCTCAGACACTTTTTCAGTGTTAGATGCCATAATCTACTACAATATATAAATGCTCCTATCAAAATAAGGTTTACCGCAAAAAGAATTATTTTACACACATATTAAACACAGCCTAGAATTTTTTGCTTATTTACTCAGTATGCAACCCGCACATGAAAAGTTGACCTAAGACGATTGTGGCTGTTTAATTTCCAAAAGAATTAGGCTCTCAACCGTACCCGATGAAGATTAATCCAGCAATATATATAGGGCGCACTGTAAATTGAGACACGATATCCTGCTTTGTTTTGTCTGCTTCCATTCAAGTACCAGAAATAAATACTCTTGATGTCGAATTGTAAATAAACAAGTCCTACAAATGAGTCTAATTTGCTGAAATCGTTAGTAGACACTTTGCATGAGTGATTGCCCTTTGAGTGAATTTTGTTTTATCCTTTTTATCCGTTTTTATGTTCTGGGTAAAATTCGAGAAGATAGAGAGAAACTGGAAAAAAAAGATAGGCAATACAGGATCAACAAAAAAGAGATTTTTGTCATGAATTTTATTCTAATCTACAATGTTGGAGAGTGTCTTTTTTGAAGATGTACATGGACCTAAACGAGCGACACAGGCTCATTATAGCCAGTAGAATTTGAATTATCTCCATCTGGAACGCTCAACGCCAAAAAGTTTAAAGCAAAGTACCGAAACACGTGAAGAGCTATATGACCAAATGAGCCAAAAAAAAAAAAAGCGAATAACATCTAAGGGCAACTTGCCTGAGGGAGTTGAAACTTTAGTTTTCTCAATAATTTCCTAATTAAACACAGCCTAGAATTTTTTGCTTATTTACTCAGTATGCAACCCGCACATGAAAAGTTGACCTAAGACGATTGTGGCTGTTTAATTTCCAAAAGAATTAGGCTCTCAACCGTACCCGATGAAGATTAATCCAGCAATATATATAGGGCGCACTGTAAATTGAGACACGATATCCTGCTTTGTTTTGTCTGCTTCCATTCAAGTACCAGAAATAAATACTCTTGATGTTGAATTGTAAATAAACAAGTCCTACAAATGAGTCTAATTTGCTGAAATCGTTAGTAGACACTTTGCATGAGTGATTGCCCTTTGAGTGAATTTTGTTTTATCCTTTTTATCCGTTTTTATGTTCTGGGTAAAAATTCGAGAAGATAGAGAGAAACTGGAAAAAAAGATAAGCAATACAGGATCAACAAAAAAGAGATTTTTGTCATGAATTTTATTCTAATCTACAATGTTGGAGAGTGTCTTTTTTGAAGATGTACATGGACCTAAACGAGCGACACAGGCTCATTATAGCCAGTAGAGTTTGAATTATCTCCATCTGGAACGCTCAACGCCAAAAAGTTTAAAGCAAAGTACCGAACCACGTGAAGAGCTATATGACCAAATGAGCCAAAAAAAAAAAAGCGAATAACATCTAAGGGCAACTTGCCTGAGGGAGTTGAAACTTTAGTTTTCTCAATAATTTCTTAATTAATAAACAACAAGTGACATCATTATTTATATAATTAAATTGACCGAGAGTTGATTTTAAACTTATACTCAAATATTCAATGATCGAAAATAAAAGAAAAATTAATAGGTTCAGCAAGACTACCTACATGTTCGTACACAAAAACCTATATATTGGAGATAACGCATAAAAAAGAACGATAAATATATTTTGTGCAACTCATACAAAGATTTGTATTTATTTGCTTCAACAAGCTGGATTTTCGTCCATACAGAGGTTTAGAGAAAAAAAATATCTGATTCAATTTTAATACATTTTTGTACTTTGCTTTAATCAGTTTAGGCTTTCTATGTTATTTTTTTTTGGAATTTTTTCTTCCAAGTGTTGATAATAGTTTTAGATAATGAACACTGTAATTGCTATCCACATTGTGATTTTTTTTTAAATTTGTAATACCGATATTAAATCGTTTCCGAACTAATGAACACAAACGTAAATCATCAGTTGAGACTTTTGTTCTGTAATTTGAGTGAAACAATCAGAAATAAACAAGGTTTAACGCTCACGTTTTAAATTCATACACCAATATTTAAAAAATAAAGAATAATTTGAGAACGCATATGTTGAAATATGTTGGAGTTTAAACGAATGGCTAAATTAACTGCTTAGAAAGTATTTTTTCCGTAAATAGAATTTAGAATGAAAGATATGAAACCGATAATTGGTCGTTAACCAAATAACATTATTATCCAACAGAGTAATGGAGGAGTAATTCATTAACAATGTTTTCATATACCAATTTTGAAAAACTTAATAATTTATTTATCATTGACAATGTTCGTGTTAAAGTAAATGAATTTTTATTTTCAATATATTTCTTTGAAAGATAATCGGATAAAGGATGAAAGCATCTTTAACACCCTCGAATTTTCACAGGTTTAAAAAAGAGAGGCGAAAGATACCAAAGGGACATTCAAACACATAAGTCGAAAATAAACTGACAACGCCATGGCTAAAAAAGAAAAGATGCATGTATTTTGAATGGGAACGTACATAACCCAAATTTAACATTCATTAAGACAAAATGTGGTTTTCAATTAAAAATAATCATTAGGTGTGATGTTGCCTATAAATAATAACCGAAGTTTTAAATCTGTATGATGGCGTCATTTAATTTTGTTATGTCACAAAGTGATGTTAGAAATTGAAATCCAAATTGATATTTGAATTTGATTTTGAAAAAGTAAAACTTTTTACATAGCTAGCTAATAGACTTTGTTCTCTCTTACAAGTAACAATTTTCCCATTCAAGAATTGAATGCTTCACTTTACAATTTTATTGAAGTTTAACGCGTTGACCGAAGACGCTTCATATTAAAAATGTGCGCACGATTAACGCTTTTACAACGCTAATAAAATTATAAGAATAAGTAAGCATTCAATTCTTATAATCACATGTGTATGCTACAACCATGAACTTATGAGTTATAGCAAGCTTTTTTTATTGTTTTCAGTGCATTGTTTTAACAATTTCACGGATAGCACGTGCAGTCATAGCTGTTGTATTCTATACGGAAATAAAATTGGAGTGCCTCGCGATTTTTGTCAGCCAATCAAAATTACGGATTCTAATGAAACATACGTGTTATGTAATTATATTATGACAAAGCAATACAAATGAGTCCGTACATGTTGAATAAAGTATGTAGGAGACTTTTAGAAAATATGAAATGCAATGTAATGGTGATCAGCATTTAGCTCTCTTAAAACATACTTTCTGTTTTGGATCAAATAGCATGCTTCTGTTGTTCAGTTTTTCTTGCAATCGTGATTCAGATAGATATTGGAAAGTATGAATCATGAACAAATTTTAGTTTTGTCAAGTATTATGTAAATTTGAAGTTAATATTAAAGGTATAACAATCTGATCGATTGTCTAACTACAAAATCTATTACGTGTGACCAGCTTAGGGACCGTTCAATATTTATCAGAGGGATGGGCCGGTGCATGCTCAATATTGTTTCATTAAAAAAGTTGATGCCCATCCTTTTAAATTCTGCAAAAAAGTGCTTGCCCATCTCAAAAATTCTAATAAAAAAGTTCTTGCCCCTCTAAAACTTAAAGACGATCAATAATGATTTAGGTTCTTTTTCTCAGGCTATTTTAAGGTTTGCATGTTTATGCCTGGAAATAAAAAAAAATCCTTTGAAATACATATAAAAATTTACTTATTATTTATCAAGTAAAAAACCGTGATTATTATTATTTTTTATAGTTTTGAAATTGTTTGGATAACAAGTGACTTGATATTTATTTTTTGGTATGTGAAACTCATCAATGATCTTTTTCAAAAATGACAGTAAATTATATTGCTAATCAATAAATTATCTCCCCTTTCTAACAATTTTGTATTATATTCAGATCCCTTTTTACATTTTTACTCAAGTCCATTCAAAATATGGGAGGTACATATGTATACATTATCTTCATATCTTTTAACTGCACCGCAAAAACTCATTTAATAAAACCTTTCGGATTTTCTTTTAATGCATGTACCTTAATCATATCCTGCTTGGTTCTTGAAATATAATAGAAATACTTGTAAATTGTAAGACTGGTGTTTGGAATATTTTTGGAACAAACTATTGCTATATATATATTGATCCTATAGCTGTCTTAAATATTAATATAAAATATTGTCCATACGATAAAAGTATCTATCATTGAATCATGTAATAGAGGACAGCCTCTGGTATTATTCAAAGTAGAACAAATAATTTACTTTTTTTAAATACATGTGCGCTTGAAGTAATTCTGTCATTTTGTAATTAGTATAAGTCAGTATGCAAATCTATTTCTATAGTTATTTTATATTTTCAGCATTGATCAGAAGCTATATACTGAATATATTAAACAAGTATAATTTTACAAGTTTAAATACATTGGAGATAACTTCGTTCATCTGAAAATTGTTGGTTGATCAAAGTTTTAAAATGTTGTGTTTTCATGATACATGATTTATTTTTTTCTAAAATACATCAAAATCATATCAAAACTGTTATTTTTGTTTTTATTATAATTTGCGTGTCTGCAAAAGAAATTTCCTACACACCGATTATCGTGAATGTTAAATGATATGAAGTGGAAATGATTATTATTAGACAAAAACAAAAATGTTCATATTACCATAATCTGAACTGTCTCAGTAAATAAAGGCTCACGCAAGTGTTTACAAAAAGGACAAAAGAGGCAATCAAAACCGATACATTGAAATGAAATAGATTTTGTTTTCAGATACCCACATGGAAGTAAATCCAGTTTTGTTGAGACACTTACCTTATAGTTATTTAGATATTAAAACATATTTTTTATCATTTGTACTGCCTAGATATTGAATGATCCATTCTAAGGCAATTCATTCCAATATATGTTGTCAAATTTAATACGTTCCCTTTTTTTGACCAATTACAAAGATCAAAAATATCCCTTTGAATAATAAATGAAGACTCAATACAAAAAACTATATTTCACCAATTAATAGAAAGTTTTTGTCTGTTTGAATATACACAGGGTTGTTAAATTAATTTTTTTGAGAATCAAACCAAAAAAAAATCTGCATTTATTTAGCGTCAAATTTCTCATTGACAAACTATTTGGATTGGAATGATAAAAAACTCATCATAGATACCAGGATTGAAATTTTGTATTTGCGCCAGAAGCGCGTTTCGTCTACAAAAGACTCATCAGTGACGCTCGAATCAAAAAAAAATAAAAAGGTTAAAGTAAATTAACTTGTTGTAATGGTCAAGTATGTAACAGATTAAAGCTGTTATGCATACTATTATTACTTAAACCATCATAAAATTGCCTTTAAAATACAAGGGGTTGAATTCATTGATAGAGAGCGGTATGGGGAATTTATTGCATCCATAGGATCAAAGTTTGAAAATAGTTGAAACCTACTTGAATTTTAAATAATGTTAATGACTGATTTTCATATTTCGTTTAACACATATCACAATAGACCCTGTAGGATTTGTTTATGGTAACTATTGAACACTTGACACCGTTTCTTACCAATGAAATTTTAATTTAGCGCTACAATTTTCTGTTGAAGACAAAGTTGATACCAGTTCGAAATATGATAATGATGTAAGCTTTTGTGAAAATTTGCCTTGAATGCAACCTTAAGCAAAATTACTTAAGCTGTATCTGATAAACAGTTCAAATAATCAATTCGGATAGAATATTGATTTAAGTTGACAAATACTCCAAAATTTCGTTCAGACCTGGAAAACACAAACACACATGTGATGTCCATTGAAAAATGCGATACCTTAAGGAAATAGCCATGACGTAAAACATTTTCCAGAACTCGGCTTGCAATTCTTGGCACGAAAAACATCAAGAAAGTGTTTTGATCTTATTTCATGAGTTTTTCTCGTGTTGATGTTTTCTAACTTACCAATAATATTTATAAATTAAATAAAGATCCATTTTGTTACATCTTGTGATCCGTTTATTTGGCAATCGCTAATGGCAGTCAGCAGGGTTTAAGAACATCCGTTGTTCGACCTGTAAGTCAAATGCGTTTTGTTTAAATATACTTTTTCACTTTTTTGGTCTTTTGGAAAATGTTGTTTGTGCTGTATTTAGACCCCGCTACCAAGAAATTTGTTTTGCACGCACACGTATAAAAAATGCTGTTTTTATCATACGCAATCATAGGTTTGAACGTTGTTTTCAATTTAGACTTAATTATATCTTATATATTGATATGTTAAAATATGACAACCTCATATTTAAGATTTGAAGGCAGAGCGTTGAAGGTAAAAGGGTAATACATTGATGAAATACCAGCCTCAAAAATAAATGTAAAAGATCAAATTTGTCATGTTTAGTGTAAGTTATATGATAATTTACCTTCGCCAATACTATTTGAGTGGCTTTAATTGAATGAACTTTTTGACGAAAGAAAACATAAGATAGTACACACTTAAAATCACATTCGAGAAAACGCACAAAGTTTATTCGATGAAACCAACAATTCAATCATAAATAAAAATTAATTACAAAACAAATCTATAGACAAGACCTAAATAATGTTATAATATATTTAACATATAAAATTCAAGATTATGTCGGACAAATACAAGTATATAAAGTAGTTACACATTACAGTTTAATTACGCATCTACTAATTACAAAATACATGCTAGATGACTTACCAGCTCTCTCTGGTCAGGATTTCAATCTGCAATAAAAAACGAATATGATAAACTATAAAGAGTTTCTATCCAATGAAATTCTAATTTTCAGAAAACGATTGAACAGGTGACTACAAAGAAAAAGATTTAAAAATAGAATATTTTTTTAAATGACGAATAACAGATTACATCAACACATTTTGGTACATAACTATTTATAACATATGCGTACATATTGGTGTCCATCAGGTGACCATATAAAAGAGAGAACCGTGACAAAAATCCTTAAAAAGAACTTCGGCTACGTTCAGCACTCTCATACAGCTATTTTTACATAAACATATGTCCGAAATAGGCGATTGCAGAAAAAGGTACATTCTGTGTGCTCAAATACCAAATATTGCAAATGGGAGAAATATTTCATAATTAACTCCTTCAAAAGGCAATGCAATTGTACTTTATGAAACTTGTATTGAAAAAAAATGATTCAAAGTTGTGCGATGATATTTATTGTCATAAAAAATCGGCACAGTCTCTTTTCTATTTAAGGCATAGAAGAAGTATCACAAACGATTGCTGGTGGAATGGCGTCTGGTGGAACATCTGAACCTGAAAAGGCGAAGTCATATGAAAATTATTTACAAGTAAGCCTAATTTTCCTCATTTAATTGAGACTTATAAAACGTTCTCTTCACTGGACGTTTTCAATAAAATATTATGTTTTTCACAAAACATTGAAGTTATCAATCTTTTAAAAATTTATTAAAGAAAAAACAATTTTTTTTCTTGTAAAAGCGAAGTCATTACATGAATTTTGGTTTGACTGAATCAATTTTAAATCATACTTGTGTACGATTCTGCGGCTCTTTTCACAAAAAAACTTAAGAGTAAAAATACTCGCAAGACATACACATTTCAGTATAACTTACGATCAATTTTAATCGTGAGATTTTTTGTGAAAAGAGTCGCTGGCGTCAACCCTAAGAAAGTTAGAGTATATGTCTAATTAATTAAGGTTTGATGCTGCATTGTTTATGTAAAACCAGCAGGATGAAAGCAAAGTCGTGGCACACTTTCTTCAAAAACATAATGAAATAAATTGATTGGAAAAATTAAATAAATATATATTATATATATAAACTGGTATCATTTTTAATAATCATTTGAATATCAATGTTTATTAATTATTATTCACAAAACGTGTTTAATCTGCAACAATGTTTATGTTTGTGAAGTTTGCGCATGATTTGCATTTAAAAAAAAAAACTGAAACGGAACACAATTTTAAGACATTATATATATACGCAACTAAACGTCTATTTACATGTAAAATCTTAAATAGGAAAAAATTCAAAGCAATTCTTAATATGTAATTAAGGTAATTTCATAATCAGTTCCTCATTAGGAAAAGTTTTGATTAACAAGGAAATCTATCTAACCTGAATTTAATGTTATTAAATATTATCAAACTTGTGTTAACTGAACTTTTGTATCAGAGCTTAAAGCGAAAAATAGAAAAAAGGTGATACGGAAGGATTGCAAATGAAACAACTATGCACCAGAGACCAAATGACGAGGATGTTAACAAATATCATTATTCAACAATGCTCAATCCTTCTCCTAACCTTGGACAGTGCTGTAACAGCACAATAAAGTAAATAAGTGACATCATTAGAACGACACTCAGTATAGTTTCTTTTTTGGCCCAAAGAAATCTGCAGTGTCAATAGATTTAACTGTAAAGCATAATCTTTTTGGGTACATTTAAAATTGAATTATTGAATTATTTAGTGTATCATATCAAGCTGTAAACCACCAAAAGGAATTTGACCGTTCAATTTTGTAGCAGATAAATATTTACATTACATGTATCTTTTATTAGAATCCGTAATTTTGACAGCACGTGCTATAAGTGACTAAGTTAAAACATTCATAGAAAAACAAATGAAAAGCTTGATATAACTCTTAATGTCATGGTTATAGCATACACATGTAATTATAAGAATTGAATGCTTCTTTTTATAATTTTATATGGTTGTAAAAGCGTTGATCGTGCGCACATTTTAATTATGAAGCTCGTCATATTTACTGACATGGTTTGAAATCATACTAGTTCAACTGGTGACGTAGCTGTAATGAAGTTTCGCGTATGAATGGTTTCTTTGTCTGTTAAAGACTAATGTTGCATTATCTTAGTGTAATAAGTCAAATGAAGTAAAATGGCGTTTGAATGTCTTTGTACTGTTGATTTTAAAAGCACAATAGAAAAACCAATGAAAAAAATACAAAATAAACAATGAATAGATCTATAAACTGAAATTATTCAAATGAATTTTTTACATTTACAATATCCATGATATTTATATCTAATTATTTCTATTCGGAACGCGCATTCTTTCGGCAAATGTATGCGTTTATATCAAAATAAATTGAAAGATAAGAATTAACATTTTATTGCTGTAAACATAAGCTTATACAGATGAACCAGAGTGACCTTACATTTAATTGTTTAACTTTTACACTTATATTTGAGGAATGCCAGATGAATATTCTAAGAAATCAAATATTTTATCAACCAAATAAAAACATACACGTAAAACATTACAGAAGTAATTGTAAATAGATATCTGTCTCGTCCGATTAAATCTGTACTTTGAAAAAGTATCACTGATTTAGCTTAAACAAATTTCACTGTTTACTGTTATCTATTTATTTATACATTTTATTGCTTCTGTAATTTATGCAACGCCTTTTTGTGTTTGGTATTTATCATAAAACTTTTTTTTAAATTAAAAGGATAGCTAATTGTTCTGTTTTTGTAACCTTTACACATGTTACAAGGTCTCTAAATGATTCCAAATATTGAGATTAAGAATTGAGAGAATAATATTCTTATTAAAACAAGGGGCATCATGGAGCATGTATCGCTCAACTGTCATTTTTGCCAAATATAAGTTGGATAGAATACAACAAGACTTTTTGGAGAAAATAGGAAGTAGGTTAACCTTGACATTTGGGTTTTACACTGGTCATTTTTTGGGCCCTTTATAGCTTGCTGTTCTGTGTGAGCCAAGGCTCCGTGTTGAAGGCCGTACTTTGATCTATAATGGTTTATTTTACAAATTGTGACTTGGATGGAGAGTTGTCTCATTGACACTCATACCACATCTTCTTATATCTATTTGGGGCATTTAATCCCTATCAATTTTTCTATATCTATTCTGGTTTTCAAGATATAAGCACTAATAAACAAATGTTTATCTTTACAGCTCTTGAAAGACTGTTAAATAAATCATTCAGTTATTTTCAGTCTTTCAGTACATTTTCTGACTTAATCACTGCTGTAAATTCAGTACTGTTAAGACAATTCGCTTACCATCAATTAAGATATGTCCAGGCCATTTAGTAATTGTTCATACTATACTTGTTATTAACCTGGTCACATTAACAACATACTGACTTGTCCGAAAAGCTACTGAACAGTACTGAATTGACTGAAAGTGAATTGTCTGAATAGTACTGAATTTACCGCAGTAGATTAGTCTTAATATTGACTGAAAGACTGAGTATAACTTTATAATTAATTGTTCAAATGTTTTGGGTGATAAAAATGAGCATTTGAAATTCATTTCCTAGTGAAGACAATTAATGCATTTTACCCTAGAGTTCTAAATTAAGCCATGATGGTCATGCACTTTATTTTGCCTTTAACTTTTTTTTATTCGAGCGTTACTGATGAGTCTTTCATAGACGAAACGCGCTTCTGGCGTATGAAATTATAAACGTGGCATCTTTGATGAAATTGTTTAATATAGTTTGTTCTTATGTTGTACTGTTACACTTGCGTCCCAGTTAAAGGGAATGTTAAGCTCTCACATACCTCACACACATTTAATCCCGCCACATTCTTTACGTGCCTCTCCAAAGTCAGGCGACTAATATCAGTGGCTGTCGTTGGTGCTGTACTGTGGATTCATTTTTAATTCGTGTGATATTAAATTTGGTGGATTTCGTGGATGAAAGTTAACCACGAATTTAAATGTACAGAGAAGTACAATTGTTTTAATAGGTTGGTATGCAGAAACCACGAAATCAAATATCCACGAAACAATAATTGTTCCTTAATCCACGAAAATTGGTTGCAACAAAAATATATGTTTTCATAGTATGTCACATTTGTTTTTGTTCCGTTTATTTTCTTGACATATATTATGTGATTGTTTTTTCATATGAAATGTTTCACATGTCGGTTTTTTTATAGCTTACTTTACTATACTGAATAATAAGTAATGAAAATATTCAGTTCAAACCATCAATGGTGTTACGAAAAAAAAATTAAGTTAAGGACACGGTAAATAAGCTATATCATCTACTATGAGATAGGAAGTATAAAGATGAGATGTAATTATATTGCAAATATTTTCCATATAGTTAGATTTATCTATAATGTTGTTGTTTAATACTTTTTCTTCCCTGTTTGGACATAAATTATTTCGTAATTTTAGTACACATCCTCATCTTATCGTATATATTTTTTCTGAACTGTTACGAATCAAAGTTCATGGCTAAAGCTGATAACGCCAACCATTGAACAAAACCTGCAGATAGTTAGAATACATACATATATATATATATATATATATATATATATACCCTCAAATCATACTGGTTTCCTAAATATACAGAAGAAATTCATCATTCTTAATATATTTATATTCTTAAATTCATTTTTATACATTAAGATATTATTGAGAAACTAAGATTCCAACGACCTCAGGAAATCACGAAAAGCGCTAAGGAAGCACCAGTTTTTGTAAAGTGTTATTTCCCATTTCTTGCACTTGGTCTATACGACTGCTGATGGAATGCCTGCCTCTAATGGTATCATAATCTCAATAGTTTTGGCTTCGGTACTGACAAGATTTATTGATACCCTTCTTAAAAATTCTCCGTTGATAAATTGATCAATGTAGAAACTAAGGTTCCAACTCTAAGTCAGAGTTTACCTTGGGTGGAATTGTCTTTTATTAGCTCACTTGGCACATAGGGCAAGTATGAACTTTTGTCATTACTTGGCGTCCGTCGTCTATCGTCGTCTGTTAACTTTGCAAAGATCATCTCCTCTGAAACTACTGAGCCAAATTTTACCAAACTTGACCACATTCACCATTGCGGTATCTAGTTTAAAATATGTCTCCGATGTACCAACATGGCTAAAAGTAGAAAATAGCGGTGAAATACAATATCTTTCTTTTATCTTGAAAACCACAAAAGATATAAAAAATTAGGACAGAAATGTTCATAATGATGATGTCCATCTTCTCTCTGACTTTAAAACTGTCAGATGACTTGCGGAAGGGGTTATAGCCCTTAAATGACGGATTTTTCAATTTTGCCGTTTATCTTGAAAATTATAATAGATAGACATACACTTTATGTACTAAAAATGATCTGCAAGGAAAAATCTACAAGTCATAAAATTGAGAATGAAAATGGGGAATGTGTCAAAGAGACAACAACCCGACCATAGAGCAGACAACAGCCGAAGGCCACCAATGGGTCTTCAATGCACCCGGAGGCGTCCTTCAGCTGGCCCCTAAACAAATATGTATACTAGTTCAGTGATAATGGACGTCATACTAAA